ATTATTATTCTGAGTTAATGAGCTAGGTTTTAGCATTTAGGACATATATTTGAAAACTGTATTAATATTGAGAAGCTAACTGTCACAATGTGCCCCATTCATATAGGTGTCCTCAGTGACTTAAATACATCCTTTTTCCTAGCTTATAGTTAATTCTCCCTATTGTATTGATTTTTTAAACCTGCAGATTGAGTCTTATGTTTCCTACTGTGGTGGGCTTCCAGCTCCTGAACATTCAGACAATCCTTTGAGGTACAAATTTAGCTGGAGTCCCATGGGAGTTTTGCTGAACATAATACAGCCTGCCACCTACCTGCTCAACGGAAAGGTGAGGTGGCCTTGTGGAGGATTTAGAAATACAAACCTGTAATAACTGCCTAATGAAATCGAAAATCTCTCCCTGATACCAAGATCTTCTGGGAATGGCTGTGCTGTCCACCTGCTCCCCCATCCCCTCCTTGCCTGAGTTTATCTTCTGTCCTTTTCAGCATGCTCTGATGGTTTCCAGGAGAATCTCTCCTCATCCTTCCCTCTTTGGCTTCTGGCAAATTGTTCCTGAAAATCTCCTCATCTTCTCTATGTATGTAAATGCTGGTCTCCTTTCAATATATTTCTATAAAACACTTACTATCTACCTGCCATGTATTGGACTTCGTGACAAACACGGAGTGAAGTTCTTTACCTCTGAGAGCTCACAGGTAGATGAGAGTAGCTCTTAGAATGGAGGGTTTGCTTTTTCAGAGAAAGAAAATGAAATTTTTCCCCCAGCTACTATGTGACAGAACCTAAGAACTTTCTGACTTTAGCATTGTTCTCACTACTTAATAAGGAAACTATGGTTCAGAGATTGTCCAAAGTCATCAGCTGGAACTCAAGCCCACATCTGACTAATTCCACAGGTGCTTCTTTCCTACTTTTCCAGATTGCTTTATGTCAAGCAAGATAGACTCTGGAATAAATAACTATAATTAGGGAGATTTTTAAAATCTCCAATGCTAACAAGATCAGCTCTTAGGGGATGGAGTCCAGGGATCCACTTCCGGTTAAACTCCTGAGGATTTCATGTGCAGCCACATCCAAGAGCGATGCTGAACATCATAGACATGAAAAACTGATTGATTATAACATGCATTGCATTTCTTTAGAAATTCTTTTAAATACTTAAAATTTCTCCCAGTGATTCTATTGTACAACTGAATTTGAGAACAAATGATTTAATAATCAGAGAACCACAGCTTAAAGCACTGCTAAGCAAGCGGGATAGTTCAGGCTGACACCAGAAAGATGCATCCAAGGGCTGCCCTTCTTCATAGAGTCACCAAGGCCAGGCTGTGACCAAGTTCCCGCATGTCTGTTCACACGTGCGTGGTGTGACCTGCCGTTGTGTCTGTGCTCCAATTCTGTGAGTCATGAAGAGTTCGGCCAGAATCTCGATCTGTCAGACACACATTCTCTTGCATGCTGGAACCTGTCTCCTATTGTTGTCTTTTACATTTTTATCTTGGAAAAGAGAAGGGCCCATGGTCATTATAAGCTCACATGGGAAGGGTGGAAAAATCCCTGCCTAATGTGGGAAAAATCATCTTGAGGAGGCCATGGAGACAATAAGAAAGGTAAGAATGGTCAGTGGAATGTAGCCTGGTGGAAAGAACCAAGCGTTTCGTGCTAGGCCGTCTGGCACTGTCACCACTGGCTGTATGAACTCCAGGGTCCTTCTCTGAAGAGGACAACTGTACAAGCTTTGCAGAGTTTCTGTTTTGTTTTATTTTAAAATTTAACTTTATTAGATGCTGCCGCACTTTCTTTTTCTAATAAGATGATTCCAATTTATGTTTCATCTCCATGGCTCTTTGTCTTCAGCACACTTTGTAGGTAAAGTTCTTGCCATATGACCGCATGAAGTCACATAGACTGTGTTCTGCATAGCAGCATATCAACAGGCGTGCTGTCAGTTCAGAAATTAGTGGTCATGAGTTCTCAGGAAAAGAGGCTATATCCACGTGGCAGAAGTCATACTTGTTGAATTCAAAGTTTTACCCTTTCAATCTGAACTCCCTTTGGAAGAAGGAGTGCTTTTTACATTTCTCTGAATACTGTGGAGTATTTGAAGAGAAAGCATGATGTTTCTCTTTTCTTTGCCAAAATGATACTTTATTCAAGGTCCTGCTCAAGTTTCCCATCGCAGACAGTGCCTCTCCTGACCGCTCAGCCTCTCTATCCGCCACTCCTTCGTCTGACCTTTATCGAAACGATTGTCTGTATCTAAGAATATGCTGGGTGTTATGCTCTTCACCCAGCAGCTCAAGTGTCTGTCTGTGTCTCAAGCTACATTGTTATACTTCTGAAAACCTCTCTTGTTCTCTGCCCCTCCACCCGCTCTGACACCTTCTCCCTCGGTCACAACGCGGACCTGAAATAATTCACAGAATCTTAACAGGAAGCCAGGAGACTTTTCTGGCTTCTGCTTAAATTGAAGCCTTAAACTTTTTCAACCATGAGAAGGTACCTATGGATCACGATGTGTCTCATTGTCCTGTATCCTTGCAGGAAGTTCCAGCCAGGTAGTTCTAACTTCTTAGCTGGTTCCTAATAAATCGGTTTTCCTTCTGCATATTTGACATCAATTTCAGTTGTTCTGTTGATATTGGTGAACTTCATGAGCTGCTGTACTGTATCAAGACCCCTGCCAGAGCACCGCTCTTGAAATAAGCACATTTAAGAGGCCAGTGGGGGCGGCACTGTGTCGTAGACCTGCGCTCATATTTGCCTCCAGGTGGCCTTTGTGCTTTGTATATCAGAAAAATGTGTTATTGTGTAGAGAAGTGGTATATGAAGCCCCTGGCAGGCAGTAGGGCCTAAATAAATGAATATATACATAATTATGTACTTTAGATGTTAAATTCCCTGTCACTCTACTGATCAAGCATATTGTGATTATTTGAATGATTTTTCTAAAACATGACCATGATTCTCAGTGACTAGAAAGACTGTGTGTTCTCTCTCTCTCTCTCTCTCTCGCTCGCTCACTCGCTCGCCCTCGCTCTCGCTCTCGCTCTTGCTCTCTCTCTCTCTCTCTCTCTCTCTCGTAAAGCAATAAGGAATGAGCTTTTATTTCTTCTGGGTGTGGGTCTTGGATGAGAATGAACATTGTGAGAACAGGAAGAAATAGATATGCTCCACAAAAGAGATCACTTTATCCCTCTGTCTTCAAGTCATTGCTAATATTAAAGAAGACAAGGTAAATTATGTAACCCATGGTATGGGACTAGAAATGCAACTCCGAATTGATGTCAAATGGTAATGATTATCTACCCTGTAATTCTTGGCTCACATTGCTTAACATGCTGTCAGTTTTTTCTAAATGAAGCACTACCATTTGGCTTATATTTCTTGCTTTTCTTTACAAAAATTCCATGATAGACTTATGAACTCGCTGATTTATTTCTGATTAATAGATTGCTGGGGTAGTATGGTTTTTGTAGAGTGTTTCTTTTTAAAAAATTCTTCTGACCTTGACATAAGCAAGCAGGAATTTAGAAATGCTGTGAATTATAGAAGTCAGATGGCTATGGAGACTTTAAAGGGCAACATTTGCCTGCTTTATTACATTTTTAAAAAATTTGGAATCCTATTTTAGGAAACTTGATTTAAGCAAGAACATAAATGACCTCTTTGGAAATGCTTACATGACAACCAAGGATGATTAATAGAAAACACCCTTCACAGCCTTCTGATTCACAATCAGAGATGTGGATGATGACACCCATCCTGACACTGCAGATGACACCACCCCTTGCCTCTGGGACTTTGTCTGTGTATACATGAGTTTTCATTTTCTCCCTCATGCCAAGGCACATGTGGAACCCATCTATAGATAGGACGTAGGAATTATTGAGTTTAAGCAAGATTTCTTTGTGAAAATTTCTCTCAATCTGTGTTAAGTTTCTTTGGTAGTGACCGCTTGTGGTGTTGCTGTGTGCATCTTTAGAGATGTGGTCAGAGATTGCTTCCAGCAGTGCAGCCAGGACATCTCACTCCTGAATGCTTTCTGTTGTCTCAAGGACAATCACAAACTTTACAACCAAAGAAAATTTAATTCCTTAATTAAAACTAAAGACAAAAACCACTTCACTGCATGTTGGGGAACCTGTATGCATAAGATAACTGATAAAATAACAACAATAAAAAAGCTTGGGAATTGGGTAATTTTAAGTTCTTATTAGCATTAGGATTAGGGGTTGTGTTTATTTGATTTTCACTGTGTGCGGTTGGCCTTGTCTTTGCTGTGAAGGGAGATCTACCTTCTTCTGCCCTTCACTGTCCCCAGAACACA